GGGGCCCGGAACGGGGCCTGCCGCTGCCGCGGTCGATGATCTCTGTCCGTGTGTCGGTAAGAAGCCCCCACCTTTCAGGGCCTCTGGGGGTCCAGCAGGCCTTCGCCATCTAGGGAGTAACTGAGGAGGGGTCAGACGGGCCCATGATGAAGGGAAAGTGTTAATATGAACCAAGGCGATTTCTAAGCAGTTTCTGTGCCGGCCCTCCTGGGTACTGTCCGTTTCCTCTCCCCCAAGTGCCTAGGAGCCGGCCAGGTTGCTGCCCGGTCTACAGGTGGGGAAACAGAGGCTGAAGAGACAAGGCAGTAGTCACGGTCACCAGCCAGCTAGCAGGGGACACGGCTGTCCGCCCCAGGGCCCATCCTCACTGGGAGGCACACTGATGGCCTCGTGCTGTGAGAAGGACCAGGAGATGCTTTGTCACCCCGGGTGGGGGAGTGGAGGCTGTAGGCGGCCTTGCCCAGACGCCACCCCTATACCCCAGCCAGGTCAGACCTGTGGACCACAGCATGCCCAGCCGTCCCGGTTTGTCCCATGTCCCTGGTTCCTGGGATGGTTGGCCGTTGTACTGTGGTCTTCGTGGCAGTGGTGGCTGAATGCCCTAGGGGAGCCCTGTCAGCCTGGGAGCCTGTTCGATTATGTCAGCCTCTGGCGATGCTGGAGGGAGATACTGCCTGCTCCTGGGTGGCTCCCTGGGCCATAGTGACTCAGCAGCCAGTCGGAAGCAGGCTAGACTGTGACCTGCCAGGAGCAGAGCCTCAGGCAGGGTGTGGGCTGTCAGTACCAGCTCAGGGTGAGAACCAGAGCAAGGAGTGGGGAGAGGAGGAGAGGGGGCTGGAGGCCCCTGGGAAGGCGGTTCTGAGTTGCTAGACCCAAACAGCACCCTGCCCTCCTGCCCAGGCCAGGCTGGTTGGAGGCAGTGGGAGGGGGCGTGCTGGAGGCAGAAAACCTGGAACTGGTGTGTGAGGGATGGGGGAGTCCCAGCCACTGGATACCTAAGCTGCTTCTCAGCATATTCAGCAGCTAAAAATACGAAATGGCTTTGCTAAAAGGTGCCCAACCGGAAACCTTCAAGAGGTTTCCTATTAGGGCAGCGCCTGCTTGGGCTGGAGGCCAGCCGCTGTGTGAAGGATCGCTGTGCTGCCATTCCCACCATCCATCACAGCCTGGCTGCCCCCACTGCCGGGACCTCAGCCTCCACCCCTTTAAGCACCAGGGCTCTGCCTTCCACTCCTAAGTCCACTGCTCCAGGGTGATCGGGGATCTGTCTGGAGCCTCAGAGCAAGGCCTGGGCTGCCACGCCTCCTCCCAGCCTCACCCACTCACTCTGTGACCTTGAACACGTTGTGTAGCTTCTCTAAGTTTAGCTCTTCTCACCTGCAAAACTATAAGTCCACGCCATCTGCAGGGAGGGATCCAGAAGTCCTCGGTGGGGCGGGCCCTTCCCTACTCTGGTTGAAGGGCAGGCAGGCCGGGGGATTTGGGCCAAGCTTCTCTGCACTGCAAGCACTTCGCTCTCACTTAGCATAAATGTTTCTCAGGGTGGCTGGGGCTTGATGGACATGCAACACTGGACCCGTCTCAGCACCCTCAGGGGAGCTTGTGGGAGACGCAGACAGTGCAATAGGTTAGAGTAAGGCCCCAGCTGAATTTTTAACCAGCTCTGGAGATGACTTCACTGAATGGCCGGGTTGAGAATCACCAGGGGCCTGGCATACTCTGGGCATGTGAATTACGTCCCTTTCTCATTCCTGAGCCTCCGTGTGCTCCCGCCATGCGGGAATAACCTGCCTGCCTCCCTGCTGGGCTGTCCACAAGCTCCAGGAGAACCCTGGGCCACCTGCAGTGCACAGACAGGGGTCGGTCAGTGGGCCGTGTAGTCCTGGACCCAGAGCCCTCTCCTGCCAGGACCAGTGGGAAAATGGTGGGCCGGACGAGGACACCTCCTCCTTGCCATCCATTCCCTGCCCTTCTCTAGTGGCCCAGCCTCACTCAGTGAAAAGGCCTGAAAAACTGGGACCAGCAGATGGCATAGCAGTTATGTTGTTGGACTCCTGCATGGCCAACCACAGTTTGAGCCCCAGACCCAGTGGCTTCAAAATCTCGCCAGGGGGGGACCAGCAGTTAGCGTAATGGCTATGTCACTGGACTCCCACGTAATCGACCGCGGTTCAAGTCCCGGACCTGGTGGCTTAAACTCACACCAGACGCGTGCGCATGCATGCTCAAGATCCCGAGAGGAGAATGGAGGAGAAGGGATTGTGGCGTGGCCATCCCCCCGGGGGGAGATTTCTCGCTTTCTGTCTCTCTGTCTCTCTCGGTCTGTCTGGCGAGCGCACGTGCCCTATGGCAAAAAACTCTCAAAAAAAAAAAAAATCTCGCTGGTGTATGTGCATGCGTGTCCAAGATCCTGGGAGTAAAAAGGAGAAGGGATTGCAATGTGATCATCCCACCTCGGGGGTGATTTCTCACCTTCTCTCTCACTGTGTCTTGTCCTCCCATCCCATGATTGCACATGCTCTAAAGCGAAAATCAAAAACAAAACAAAACAAAACAAAACAAAAAAACAACTCTTAGGAAGTAAAAATCTCTGAAAAACGGATTCCTTTCTTGGGAACTAAGAGTCTCCTGGGCACAGCCACCATATTAGTCTCTCCTCCTTGCTGGGAACTCTCCCCACAGCTGACCTCGAGGGGGCATGGTCAAGCTCTCCAGGGCACACTGTCTGCTGGTTGCTGTTCTGCCCCAGGAACACAAGCCTGCCATGGTGAAGGCCTCCCTGGACTGCCGGGTTGAGGGGACAGGGGCAAATGGAGACTCTCTTAACTTCCCAACTCCATTCAAAAACAGCAGTTTCAACAGACTCTCCTCTACCCCACTCACCCCGGAGTTTGTTTGTGTTGTAAGTTTTTGCCATAGGGCTCACGTACTTACCGAGAGAGAGAGAGAGAGAGAGAGAGAGAGAGAGAGAGAACCCTGCATGGGGTGTGGTCATGCCACAATCGGGGGGGGGAACGGTGAGAGGGAAAGTGAGTAATCACCCTCCCTCCCAGTAAGGATGGCCATGCCACAATCCCTTCTCCTCCATTTTCCTCTAGGGATTTTGAGCACACGTGCACATGTGCCCACCCTGATTTTCAAGCTGCCAGGTCCAGTACTTGAACTGCAGTCGGCCATGTGAGAGTCCAGCACCTCAGTCACTTTGCCCCCTGCTGGCCCCACACCCTGAACTTCTTATTCCAGACTGGGTGACCTTGGACAGTAGCCGAGCCTATTTCCTGGCCTGTAAAATGAGGACCACATGATCGTCCTCTTACTATGAGTGGAGAAGCTAAAGAGAGACCAAGGGGGTTCTCAAGCAAGATTGAGGGGTGCAGATCAAAAATGCAGGTTTCTGGGGCTTGCCCCTAGCATTCTAGGTCTGTGGGTTCTGAGCCCAGGCTTTGGGAAATGTAGAAGCTTGGGAGAGAAGGAGCCCCTCACCGTGACCTGGCTGTGCAGCCGAGTCTCCTTGGAGTTCAGCAAACACCCAATAGCCCAGGCCACCCCTAGGACCTCCAACATTGGAATCTTGGGGAGTCCCCATAAGCCTGGCCTACCTTCCCGGGAGCCCTTCCAGAGCAGACCTAGCTGACTAGTTTGCCTCCACCAAAGATGGGCAGCAGTTGGCATTTTTCTTGGCCCCCAGGGAAAATGGAAGGCATTTCCTCCAGTTTCCGGACAGACCTCTAGCCAGCCTCTCCGCTGCTCTCTGAGCACTTAGACTGAACGCCCAGCATTGTAGGGCGTGTGATAGGCAGGTTAAGGAGCTGCCTCGTCTTCAGCGCCCTGAGGATTGGCGGGTGGGGGGGTTGGAAGGCAGGGTCGGGGAGAGACCAGATGCAAGGGCACTGGCAGAGTTTGGGAAGCACGCTGGATCAAAGTCTGGGCTAATTTCTGGCTGGAGGGCAGGGCAGGCTGCAGGTTCCGGTGGTTCAGGGCAGGTCCAGGGAGGCCGGGAGGGCTTAAATGCCTAAGGTTACTGGAGAATTATTGCCAGTGATAGGATTTGAATCCAGCCCTCACTTCAGAAAGCTCAGCCACCCTTCCTGGCCTCCCTGTTACCCCTGCAGAGTGCTCTCCCTCCCCAGCCCCCAGTCCTGAGAGTCCCAGCCTTGGTTTTCAAGGATTAAGGACGATACTCTTCAGAAAATAAGTGGAGGGCCAGCAGGTGGCGAGGTGGGTAAGGCCCTGGGCCCCCACATGACTGACCGCAGTCTGGGTCCCAGACCTGGTGACATGCTTTTCACTTTCTCTCTGACTCTCTCTGGTGGGCACACGTGCCCTATTGCAAAATTTAAAATAATAGTAGTAATTAACAAAATCAAATAAATAATTCTTTTTTTAAAAAGTAAATAGAAAGCCAGAATTAAAGTCAGGGTGCAAAAAATGTTGGAGATGCATGCATATTCTGTTCAGAATGCACGTTTCCCATGGAGTTTTTAGAGACCCGTTTGGGTTCACCATCCCGCCTGCAGCCTGTGCCAGTCCCAGGGGTGGAGAAGCCACAGTGTGCTTTTGGGAGCCTTGGGCCTGGGATGGGGGCAGACTTCAGTCAAAGGCTCTCACAAATGTGAGAGGAAGGGGACGGCGAGGAAGGTGTTGAGGTGACATCTCAGTGGTGACTTGCAGGCTGAGAGGGCTGGACGAGCGAGGCCACGAATTTGGAAGTGGAGCTTTCCGTGGGTTTCCAACGAACACCCTACCCGAGCCTCAGTTTCCCTGTTTACAAAGTCCATGCGAACCTGCCTCCCTCCTGGTCCGCCCAGGATGGGGGAAGGTGAGCCCGGGCTCTCAGGCCGGCGGGCCCCGAGGGGCAGGGGCCGCGGGCATCACATGAGCAGCGGCGCTGGGAGCCAACCGCAGCCCGCCCGTGGGCGCCCCGCAGCCGCAGCCCCAGCCCCAGCCCCGCTCTCCCGCCTGGCTCTAACCATGTCTATCTGTTGTTGCTTCTTTTTCAGGGACTATGGCAGTTCCAGGAGGAAATCAGGTAAGGAAGCCTCCGGGCGTTTTTCCCTCCAACCCCCTTCGGTGCGCGCGCCCCTCCGATCCTGCGGACTTTGAAGGGGTTGCCCTAAGGCCGGCCGGCCGGGGCTCTCCTTTCAGTTTACCCCTCCCCAGCCTATGTCCCTCTGGCATCTCTGGGACTCACGCCTTTTCTCCCTCTCCCAGGGAGTCCCTCAGGCTCCTTGCCCGAAGCTGTCCCCAGTGGAAACGGGGGTGGGCGCGTGGGAGTGCGGGGGTGTCTCGCGAGGGGCCTGAGCCCCCATGGCGTTGACAGCCGCATCCTTCACCCGGGCTGCGGTGGCCACTGCTGCGCACTGCTGTGACTTCTCCTTGGGTCCTTCCCGCGGTGCGGCGGTGACGGAAGGGTTAATAGAGACGCAGGATTTTCCCGGTGAGAAGGTGAAGATCCCAGACCGAAAAGGGGTCATGACTGGTGACTGCCGTGAGATTTTAGCTCCTGCACGGCGGGCCTCCCCTGCGCCCCCCCACTCAACGCGTTCTTGCTGGGGGCCTGGGGCTCTGCGCCCTGGCCACTATGTGCGTTGGGGAAGGGGCCCAGCCGCCCTGCGCTGGCCTGGCAGGTGTCTGACTTTGCGAGGGGCAGGTGGAGGCAGAGAGGCGGGGCAAGCCCCCAGATGCTGGGTGCTGCGCTGTCCTCCTGCGGGGTGGGACAGGGACTCTCTCTGGGTGGGGGAGGCTGGGGGCAGCAAATGGCAAACGCCAGGGAGTCGTTAATGGAGGAGAGGGGCCCTAGAAGTTAGTGCCCTGTGTACAGGGGTGCGGGGCCAGGGTAGGTGGGTGCCTTTGCTGTGTTGCCTTATTTATGGGGCGATGGACACGTGGGCAGCCATCGCGAGGTCTCTGGCTCTTGGGCCTGTGGGAAGCGTGTGTTGACGTGTGGCTCACAGGAATGGCTTCTGTATCCAACTGTCTTGGCCTGGGGATCAGTAGAGGTGTGTGCCCTGTGTGATGGGCGGGACACAGGGGTGGTTTTAACTGGATGGTGTGAGTGTTTCTGAGTATGGGTTTGTATGTTCTGTGTACAGGCTTCCCTGCTACCGGCATGAGAAAGTTGTGCTCTGGCTTTATTGTTAGGGGTACATGTATGTGGGGTGCATGTGTGTATGAACATGTGAGGTCTTGACAGTTGTGTGCCGTGAGAGTATGTTTACTTGTTTGGGTGCCTAGGCTGGGGTGAGGGTGCCCTGGCGGGGATTAGGATATAGGTTGTGGGTTTGCGGTCTGTTCATGTGCGCCGTGTACCTGTCGGGCGCGTCTAGCAGTAGGATGCGAGCAGGCGTGCCTGTCAGCTGGGCCTGGGGTGTCTCAGGTGTGCCCGCCCACTGGTACGGAGGGCACTATGAACAGGGCAGCGAGGCTGCTTATGGGCCTGCGGGATTGCAGCGCATCCTCCGCTGTCACTCCCTGTCAGCCCCGGGTGGGGAACAGAAGTGGGGGCAAAACTGGATGGAGTTGTCACAGCCCGCCTCCCCAGGAAGCTTGCCTCGGGCCTCAGAGTTGCAGTGCAATGGTGGAGTCTGGGGTCAAGTCCCAGCTCTGTGTGAGCTTAGGGACGTGTTGTAACCTCCCTGTGCCTCAGTTTCCTCATTTCCTTTCAAATGAAGATGGAAACAAACTATCTGACACATGGGATGGTTCCTAGCGCATCGTCACTCTAAGTAGCAGTCTTCGTCGTCATCCCTTTCTGGGACCTGGTCTTGGCTGTACTCCAGGCCTCAGTCCCTCTCCCTATAAAGGCAGGGGCTGGACCGAGAAACCTCTCAGGTCCCCCTCTCCCCCTGAGCCTCGCAGCACCACCCCAGGCCTCTCCCAGGGAAAGCCTCCCGCAGTGTCCCTGCCTTCCGCTCAGGCCGGGAAGAGGATGGACAGGAATTTAATTTGCACTGGTGTGCTTATGATAATGGCCACTTAGTGTCCTGGTTAAAGGGCCAGCTCTGGAGCCAGACAGCAGGAGTTTAGAGTCTAGTTTCTCTGTGACCTTGGGCAGAGTTCTCGCTCCCTCTCTTCTGTCCCCTCTTCTGTAAGTTAGGGACAATATTCATACTCACCGTGTGATGGCTAACTTCACGTGTCAGGCTGCCCCGGTCATGGTCATGGTGTTTTGTCAAGTGTTACAGCTGTTCCTCGCTTAACGACGTATCCGTTTAATGACCACTCAGGCCTCTGACCAGTTCTCCAGCGCAGGGAATCCCCTCTCAGTCTCTGTCTCGCTCCCGCAATGGGTTAGTATTCACCACACGGAACATTCACAGTCACGCAAGACTACGTATTTTGTTTATAAATTTGTGCTGTATTGTGCACCCGCAGGAATATTCTGAATAAATAAAAATGACATGCCAGTGTTATATTACTGTGTTCTGGTGCATCTCGTTGCTTTCTGGCACTGACCTCACGTGGGACTTTTGCATGGATAGAACTGTGTTATTCTAGTATGGTGTCACACGGCATCTATCTATGGAAAAATGCATACTCCATGGCTCCGACACATCGCCATTAAGCTCCTTGTTATCAGCCCGTTCGCTTACCCTAGCCATCGGACCGGAATTCAGTCATTGAGGTGGACGGCCTGTATTGTGCAGGTTCTGTGAAGGTGTTTTTGGGATGAGATGAACGCTTAAGTCAGTGGACACTGAATAAAGTGGATTACTCTCCTTGATGCGGGTTGGCCTCACCAGGTCAGTCGAAGGCTGAGTGCCTAACGGAACAGTCTGGCCTCCCCAGCCAGGAACTGTGCCAGCAGCCAGCCTTCAGGCTCCAACTGCAGTTCTTTCCCTGGTTTCCAGCCTGCCAGCCTCGCCCATCCAATTTTGGACTCACCAAGCCTCCACCATCACGTGAGCCAATTCCTAAAATAAATCTCTTTCTCCCTCTATACACATCCTGTTGGTTCTGTGTAATAGACACCTCGAATGGTTATAATGCCGATTACATAAACTAACACATGTAAGCATGCTTAGAACACTCCTGCAACCTAGAAAGCGCTCCTGAAGTGCTAGCAACTGTTACTTAATGAGCATCTACTATGTGCTAGGGACTTTACATAGGGCTGGGCTGTGCGTTTTCTTACTGTCTGTAAATCACTGCCGGCTGCTGGACTTGCAGCTGCCCAGGATCCGCTCCTACTTACTGAGTGGCTGGGACGGTGGAAGAATGCACGCATCGTGTGTGAACCCCATATGGATCAGCAGAGAGGTCACTGTGGCTTCAAGTGGAGTTCATTATCTGGAAAGAGGAGGAATATTTTCTGGTTTAAGGGCAGAGAGGCTTTGGGAACCCGGAGAGCCCATATACAGAGGGGGGGGAAGCAGGACTAAGTGTGGCTTGTTTGGAGACCAGACACTTCTCGACTGACCTCACCGAGCACTGGCCGTGTGCCAGATGCCGAGGTAACAGGAATGTCATTCTGCCCTTGAGGAGTTTGCAGTCTGCTCTGGGCGATGGACCGTACTCACCAGAATGTGCTGCTGGATAGAGGGGATAAGGGGACAGTGTGGTCACCTGGGTCCAGGCCAAGGGTGTGGCAAATGCACAGGCCCTGGGGTGGAAGCATGCTGGCTGCCGAAGGCACAGCAGGGAGGCTTGTGCTTGGCATGGAGACAGGAGGACAGAGTGGCAGGAGATGAGAAGCCGAGGTGGGCCAGGAGGTGGGATGAAGCAGCAATCCTTAAACCTTGCAGGACAGTTTAAGGATTTTGACTTTTACTGAGCTAGGAAGCCACTAAAGGGTTCTGAGTAGAGGGGAGACATGGTCTGACTTCTTTCGTGGACTGAATGGCTGGTAGATGGAGATCTACCAGAGAGGAGACGGGAGAGAGGGCAGGCGCTCCAGCAGCAGTGGAGGGGTGAGAGGCTGATAGGGTCATTGGGCATGGATGAGGGGGTGGGGTTCAGGGGGAGTTTGTGTGGGGACTGGGGAGCATCCGAGTCAGGTCGCCTATGTCCACGGCTTGCCTGTTATGTGGCCTTAAACAAACGCCTTCACCTCTGAGCTCGGTTACCTCACCTTTGCATCAGTCAGAGTTCAACTAGAGAAACAGAAGCAGTCAGAGATACGTATTAAGAGTTGTTGTAATTGATCGTCTTGCTCAACTGGGGGGACTGGCCAGGCAAGTCTGAGATCCACCGGGCCGGCCGTGAGGAAGGCGGGCTGAGTTCTAGGCACAAGCTGGGGTGGCTGTCCACAGGTGAAGTGTCTTCAGGGATGCCTCGACCCTGCATTTCAGGCTCGTGGCTTATTGACTAAGCCCACCCCAAGTGTTTAGGATCATTTCCCACATAAATGAACTGGTGATGGACTTGAATCCCAGCTACAAAAATACCCTCCCAGCAACGCCTTGATTAGGTCGTGATTGCTTAACTGGGGGCTGGAGCCTAGCCGAGCGGGCATGCATCACTGGCCATCACACCTGTGCAGTGGGTAGTCATAGCAGTGACCGGGCAGGACAGCACCCAGGCTTCAGTGAGGCGGTGCACACAGAGGGCCTCGTGGGAAAGGCTCGTCATTGGTAGCTGTGGTTGCTCCCCTGAGGTGGGCGCTGCCCCAGGAGCCCAGAGGGGGCTAGGCAGGCCTGCCAGAGCAGGGGTTCCTCTTCAGACCTGTACTCCCACAGTTCCCTAAAAAGCTTCATTTCTCCAGGGCCCATGGATGGGAAGTTCTGCCATGCGTCACTAGGGGGCGCGGGTGGCCGCAGATCCTCTGGGATAATCCTGGCTCTGGACAGTGGCCAGCAGAGGGCCAGGCACGCCATCCCGTCAAGGAACCCTGTGATGAGTTCCAGCTCGTTTAAATGCAAATAAGGTTACTCAAGAGTGTTGCAAGTTTGTTCTCTTAGGCAAGTGTTAATGTTCCTCGTGAAATCCTGTTTACTTTCTGCTTTTCTTTGGAAAAGTGGCAAACTCAGCCCGGCTTCCATCTTCGTGGTTAGAAAACTGTTATCGAACTGAGTCAAGACCAGCGTTTCT